TACAATCCATGCTCCAATTGTTAATGAATGTTTGCAGCTGTTTATTTTCATCTTGAGATATGCCACATCAGGAAATGGGGTCCCGAAAGCTTTAATCGAATCACATCATTAAGGTCAGCTCTACTCTGAGGAAGCAACTTTTCTCCAGTCATACCTTGAGTGCCTTCCAACCCGAGGGGCTCATCTTCTGGCACTATATTGCACAGTGTTTCAGGGCTAGTCATAAAGTTTTCCAGTAATTTATCAGACAGTGTTTCCAGTAATTTATCAGACTGCTACTCATAAGGTTTTCATTGGCCAATTCTTTGAGAAGTGGATGGCCTCTTCCTTCTTCTCTTAGTCTGGAAGCTCCACCGAAACCTGTCCACCATGGGTAGCCCTGCTGGCATTTGAAACACCAGCCTCCAGCCTCACAGCAACACTCACACCACCGCAGTATGACTAACTGGCAGACAAGTTTGTCTCCCTTAGTTGTTCCAAACTGCTCTGCTCATTTCCTAGCTCCCCTGCCCTGCCCGCTTACCCGGCCTGCCCCAGGGCACAAACTCCCGCTTTCTGCTGCTCCCGGGGCTGGCTCACCAAGGCCTGCCCCACGAACACAAACTCCTGCCTTCCACTGCTCCCGGGGCTGGTGTACCTGGAGGCAGACTGCAGAAAGCCAGCCCTGGGTTACAGCAACACTAGTAGGAAAAAAATCTACTGTTATCTTTATTTTATGGAGGAGGGTCTTGATGCTGGGAGAGATCAAGCAATTTGTGCAAAATCACAAAGGCTGTTAAGTAAGTAAATAATGGTTCAGTAAATTGAACTGAAGTCGACTGACTGACTCCAAACCTGCCCTCTTACCTCCTCCAAGTTGAGAGCCCAAGATCTGCTGAGGTTTCCATAGAGGGCAGCTTTTCTAGTAATATTCTGAAATGCCCAGTCAAAAACCCACAGTCAAATCCCTGAAACCAGGGCCCTGAGATAATCTATAAACCTTAAACCAAAACAATCCCCTGAAGTCTTCTTGAAACCAAGTAACAGTCTAGGTTAACTAGCAGAGTGTCTGTTTTGGGCACTTGGGCACGGTGCTCTTTTAAGATTGATCTCTATGGGATCAAATTGACAACAGCAACTGGAAAGATTGACAGGAAACTGAGGGGGCAGTGAGTTTATGTTTGTGGAGGAGGAACAACTCGGAAAAGGAGGGTGAGAATGGTTGCACAACTAAGAGAATGTCATCAATGTCACTAAATTGTACACGGAAAAGTGGTGGAAATGGTGTATGTTTCGCTGTTGTTTTCACAATTCAAAATAAATTAAAATTTAAAAAAAAAACAGCCATGAGAATAGGATTTTTTTTCTTTTTTTTTTCCCTCGCCTCCCCTCCCACCCAAGAAGAGGGTTTTTTTGTTTGCTTGATCTTTTTTTTAAGTTAAAACTTACTGAACATGTCCCAGGCTTACTAAGGTTGCCACCAAAACACAAGGACACCCCTTTCCTGATGTTTTTGGCAAAGGGCTGCCCACCATTATGGTAAGAAATATTAGTAAAACTAGAAAGGACCCCCACACACATCCAGAGCCATGTTAAGATCTTTGGAAGACTAAACATTGGCAAAAGGATGGTGCTGCCCTATTTGTAATTCTTTATTAAGGTAGTCCCTAAGGCACTTGACTGCTAACTAGAAGGCTGGTGGTTCAAACCCACTAGCCACTCCTCGGAAGGAAGGTTGGGCAATCTACTTCTGTAGTGATACTGTCTCCGCAACCCAAGGAGGGGTCGCTATGAGTCGGACCTAACAACAACAACACATTAAGGTATTAGGAAACACTAGAGTATAAGTGTGGGGAAGTCCAGAAAGCCTTGGTTTATCCCCATGACAACAACTGTCCTGCTATTTATTTACCTAACTTTTTGAATTTTGAAATCTCTCTCCAACATGGCTCAGAACTGCTATTGTGGAGTGTGTCCCAGTTCAGAGTCCTTGCTGGCATGGTTATCTTGGGGTCAGTGAGTGGGCAGGGGGAGCCCAAATCTACCTGCTGGACAGTAGGAGGCGGTCAGTAACCTTCTTTCTCAGGGGTCCCAGCCTGCACACAGCAGGCAGTCACCAGAAGCTTTTGCTGAAGTGCTGTCCAGGAACTGGGGAGCAGGGTTCAGCAGGCCCAGTAAGGTAGATACAACTACCGAGGCCCAAACCAAACCTAACCTATTGCCATTGAGTGAATTCCAAGGACAGAGTAAAACTGCCACATAGGATTTCAAGGCTGCAAATCTTTATGGAACCAGACTCCTACAACCTTGTCCCGGAGTGGCTGGTGGTTTGAACCGATGACCTTCTGATTAGCAGCCAAGCACTTTATCCACTGTACCACAGGTAGCCAAGAAATCAAGAAAAGAAGCAGGCGCAAAAACAACAGCCAGAAATATTTATGAAGCGTCCACTGGGTGCCAAACACTGTTCCAGGCATGGGAGACCGAACCGGGACAGGACCCAGTCCCTGCCCCTGGTGGAGGCCACAGGTCGCAGACTGGGTGAGGGGGAGTGGAGGGCAGTAAGCATGAAAACCAAGGAACGAGGTAATTTCAGATTTCAGTAGTAGATGCCCTCTTAAAGACAGGGTAAAGTGAGGGGCGGGCGGGACTGGAAGTCCTCTCCCAGTAGACACGCTTACGCAGAAAAACATGTCGTCCTGTGTGTTCTCACCTCCATTTATAGGGACCTGGATGGTAAGGGCAGGTACAGTCTTGGGGCTTTCCCATAGCACTCTCCTACAGCAAGAGGGCCGGTGGGTGTTTTTACTCCCACATTACAGAAGAGGGTACCTGAACAGGGTGAGCTTAGGCAACCCGCCAGTCACCCAACCAGGCCCGAATTCCTCTACCTGTGATTTTACCAACCAGCGCGTTTACCTCGACCGGGAAAGGGCGGGGCTGGGAACTTCCCGTCCTCTGGCAGCCCCGCCCTTTCCCCCGGCTCTCCGGCCCAGTAGCGTGTAAAGCTGTGAGGCAGGAGTGCGCGCTCCAGAAAGGGTAGACCAGCGCCAGCGCGCGCCCATGGTGAGAGGCGGCCGCGATTGGCTCTCTCGAAGAATGGGCGAGGCCTCTGCCTGCTGGTGCGCGCGCCGCGAGTAAGCGTTGCCGAGGAGAGAACTGGAGGGGGCGTGGCCGCGTGCAGGCGGCCGTTGGCAGCGCGGCCCTGTCCCGGATGTAGCGCGTCGCGGGTCGGACGGTGGCGATTGGGTGATGCAGCGCAGGGGCGGGGCGGAAGGTTCTGGAGGGGACTGGCGGGCTCTGGAAGCTTCCGCCGGACGGGTATATAGAGTGCGGGACTGGGCGGCGGCGGCGGCGGCGGAGCCGGGGGAACGGCTAAAGCGGGGCGGCGGGCGACGGGTGGGGGCTATGGGGAAAGACTACTACCATACGCTGGGCCTGGCCCGTGGCGCTTCGGACGAGGAAATCAAGCGTGCCTACCGCCGTCAGGCGCTGCGCTACCACCCGGATAAGAACAAGGAGCCCGGCGCCGAGGCGAAGTTCAAGGAGATCGCCGAGGCCTACGACGTGCTCAGCGACCCGCGCAAGCGCGAGATCTTCGACCGCTACGGGGAGGAAGGTGCGTACGTGCGCGCGCGGCAGGGGCGCGCCCCCGCCGTTTGACAAGCGAAGAAACCGAGGTACGGTCCGGGAGGCCCTGCCGTAGCATCCTCCCGGGTCGCCCCGGCGCGGAGGGCGAGGAGCCCCCGCCGTCAGCCCAGCGCGGACCTCCGCCCTCGGATTGGCGGCCGCCGGATGGGAGGAGGAGGAGCCCTGGCCGCGCCGCTCGCCCGGAAGGTTCTAGCATGTCTAGGGCTGCCCCTCCCTGGGTTTCTCCACCCACGTCCCCTGGCGGCCCGGGGTGACGGGGGTGCCGGTGCAGACGGAGACTAAGCTTGGTCATAGTGCTGCGGCCCTGTGGGCTCACCTGAGCGTGCTCGGGCAGAGGATTGCAGGGTGGTGCCTCAGAGCGCTCCAGGCACAACCTGCGGGTAGTGGGGCCGGAGACGAGGGCGCGTTTTGGCGCGACTCCCACTTCTGGCCCCGTGAGGGTGGAGTGAGGTAATCCCTGTAAAGTGCCTACCTAGCTGCGCGCCAGGAAAGTAGGAGGAGCTCCTGCTGACTGGCCATGCCGGAGCAGCGAGTCGCCTGGGTCTGGCCTCACGGTGTAGCCTTCTGGAAGAAAAGAGGAAAGCTTTCTTGTCCAGTTGTTCGTTCATGAGTCAACTTGGGTTCTGAACTCTGGTCTCAAGAAGTCAACTGACTTTATATAAGATGGCGTGGCAACTAATGCTAGGGTGTGGTGGGGAGGATTTGAAAAAACCTGTTTACTTTTTGCATGTTTCTACCCTCCGCATCTGTCATTGGTATCAGAAACCAGGTGCCTTCGTGTCTATTCCAATTCATATCAACCTTATGGAGCAGAGTTAGAACAGTCCCATAGGGTTTCCAAGAGTGTAATCTTTACAGAAGTAGACTGCCACATCATTCTCTCAAGGAGTGGCTGGGGAGTTTGAACTGCAGGCATTTTGGTGAGCAGCTGAGGGCACTCAACCCAGTGTACTACCAGGGCCGCCTCCATTAGCATCACCAACCCTAACATGTTAAGCATGAACACTAACTGAATGTTTGTGTTCAGTGGTGCCTTTTTCATCCCATTTCTTGATGAATCTTTGTAATGTTTTGAGGAAGATAGATTACCCAAGAAGTGGCAGGGCCTGGGTGGCACCTGGAAATAATGCTTACCTCAGTTATGCAGGCTATCTTGGTATCATGACACGCTGAAGCCCCTGGAAGGTCTGTCTGTGTTGCTGCATCAGAGGACAAAAGCTTGATGATGCTCTTCTCTGACAGGCAGAAAGAAAAAAGGTCCCCTCCCAATGGTTCCCAAAGCTTTTCCTATTCAGGAAAGATCCTGGAGAAAGAAGGCCCTGGGCAGCTCTATGACAACTTCTGATTTTGCTTTTCAGGCCTAAAGGGAGGTGGTCCCAGTGGTGGAAGCAGCAGTGGTGCTAATGGTACCTCTTTCAGCTACACATTCCATGGAGACCCTCATGCTATGTTTGCCAAGTTTTTTGGTGGCCAAAATCCCTTGGATAACTTTTTTGGGCCACGGAACGGAGAAGAAGGCATGGACATAGATGACCCATTTTCTGGCTTCCCCATGGACATGAGCGGCTTCACCAACATGAACTTTGGGCGCTCCCGCCCTGCCCAGGAGTCCACCCGAAAGAAGCAAGATCCCCCCGTCACCCACGACCTTAGAGTCTCCCTTGAAGAGATCTACAACGGCTGTACCAAAAAGATGAAAATCTCCCACAAGCGGCTGAACCCCGACGGAAAGAGCATTCGCAACGAAGACAAAATCTTGACCATTGAAGTGAAGAGGGGGTGGAAAGAAGGGACCAAAATCACCTTTCCCAAGGAAGGAGACCAGACCTCCAACAACATTCCAGCTGATATCGTCTTTGTTTTAAAGGACAAGCCACACAATATCTTTAAGAGAGATGGCTCTGATGTCATTTACCCAGCCAGGATCAGCCTTCGCGAGGTAAGGCACTAGGCAGGATGGGAGAGGGCTGCTTTTTGAGGCAGTGTTGATTTGTTATTTGTGAGCACTTGGTGAGGGCCAGGCTCAGGGGATGTACCATGAACAAAACCAACAAGGGCCCTGGTCTGGTGACCTGATATATTGAGGGGTAGGGTCTTAGCTGCAGAGGCCTAATGGGTCTTCCTTACAGCAAACAGCCTCTGAGTACGAGTTGGGTTTCCTAAGCTGTCTTCCATCTAATGCTGTCTCTTTGTTTTCCAAGGCTTTGTGTGGCTGCACAGTGAATGTCCCCACTCTGGACGGCAGGACCATACCCGTCGTGTTCAAAGATGTCATCAGGCCTGGCATGAGGCGAAAAGTTCCTGGAGAAGGCCTCCCCCTCCCCAAAACGCCCGAGAAACGTGGGGACCTTATTATTGAGTTTGAAGTGACCTTCCCCGAAAGGATTCCCCAGACATCAAGAACCGTACTTGAGCAGGTTCTTCCAATATAGACACCTGCATGCCCCAAGGACTGACTGAGGACCTTTCAGAGCTCAAGGATTACCAGATTGTTCCACCAGTTGTGGGCCCACAAGAGGGTGGGAGGGCTTTCGTACTGCTGAATGTTTTCCAGAGAATATATTACAATCTTTCAAAGTCGTGCACTAGACTTAAGTGGTTTTTCGAGCGATAGAATGGCAGGTGGTGGGGATGACAGGAACAGGTACTCCAGTCTGTCCCTTTGAGTCCTACAGCCCTTCCTCTCCTCTTCAGTCCCCACCCAGGGGTGAAAGACCAACCCACAGCTGGACTTGATCCCGCCGCAGTTCCTGTGCTTTCTTCCAGCTTTCCCACTATCTTGATTACCAGACTCTGTGCACTCCTTGGGTCTGTTAAATGCTCAGTTTATGTTTTATTCTGTGTTGTCTCCCACGTGTTGCTCTTCCCCTGCAGAATCCTGTCTTGTCTTTTGTCATCTCAAATTGAGAACCTAAGTCTGTTTCTGCAGGCGGCACCCTCAAGCAATACCTCTTCCTTCCAGCAGGACCAAGGGAGTCGGCCTCAAGCCAGCAAGTTGTACCACAGCCTCCTGCGAAGGTCTGGGGGCCCTGGGACCCTGGTGTTGGTGAAGCCAAGTGTGCTCACTTAGGAGTCACTCCTTCCTATAAGGCAATCTTTTTTTGGCTTACCTGGGCTTCACAGGAGCTCAGGGAATTTTTTGTTCCCTTCTGAACTAATGGACTCTGGACTCTGATTTCAAAGGGATCTGATCCTTTTGAATTTTGCACAGCCCTAGATATAATCCCTTTTGATAAAAGGGTCTTTGCTTCTGATTACAGGAGCACTGTGGAACGTCTGTAAATATGTTTTTATAATTCCATGTAAAGTTGGTGTGCACTCACAGCCAGTCCAGGACAGCTGCTGCTCTCTGTACAGGGCTATAGTGGAGTCTAGGAGAAACCTTGGGTGTGGGGGGAGTTGGAACAAGTGTTTGTTCCCTGGAGGCCAGTCTGGTGCTCAGCCCTTTAGACTCATTGTAAGTTGCCACTGCCGACCCAAGACTAAAGCCTGTGACTTGTCATTGTGCAGCGTGAAGGCATTAAAGACTGATGCGAAACCTCAGGAGAACGGTTCTGCGACTCTGTTTGAGGGCTCTATTGGCTTGGGTGGGCTGGACTTCTCTGGCTACAACCAGGACAGTCATTTAACTTAGCATGGGATGGGTGGGTGGGTGGGCGGGCAGGCAGATGAAGGAATTCTCTGCATGAGAGAGGTAAGTCTCCCTGGCTTAGATCCAGACATCCAGAAAGACCTGAGTGCCCTGCATTTAGGTTGCATTTTTTGGAGTTTAGCAGGGAAAACTGGCCTAGTTCCCTCTTCCTCTTGGTTGTCCTCACTCCCTCCTGCTTGATGATGGGACCAAAGCCAAGGGGAAGTACACAGGGTATAGTTTAAAGAAGCTGCTTTTAAGTGTAAGGTAACAATTACACAGACTTGAAACTATGTATTCCTGCTTTGCTACAAAACATTTTTAAGTATGAATTTATACTGTCTATTAAGCCAACCAAGTTAGGAGGTCCATTCCCAAACCACTGGAGACAGTCTGTCCAATAAAAGAAGATAGACTATCCAATAGAAGTTTCTGTGACTAGGGGAATGGTCTTACATTTACCATTTAATTTTAAATTCTAACTCACTGCCATTGAGTCGGATCTGACTTGCAGTGACTCCTTCTTGGGTTTGCAAGGCAGTTACCACTATGGAAATACATTGCCCAATCTTCCAAAAATCAGCTGGTGGGTTTGAACTGCCAACTTTCTGGTTAGCAGTCAAATACCTTAGGCACTAGGCCACCAGTGCTCCTTAAAATTTGGTAAAATTGGAAATTTGGTTCTTCGGTTGCATTATCCACAACTTGAGTGCTGGACAGCCACACATGGTTAGTGATTATTGGACAGTGCAGATGAAGAGGACTATTTCACCTTTTAAATATATATATGTGTGTGTGTATGTGTATGTGTATATATACACACACATATATATGGTGATACTAACCCAGGGAGGCATTGGTGGTTCAGTGGTACAATTCTTGCCTTCCAGGCCTGAGATTCAATTCAATTCCTGGCGAACATACAGAGCTGTGTGTCAGCGGAGGCTGGCATGTTGCTGTGATGCGGAGCATCCTATAACGAACTAGGAGGAAAGGCCTGGTGGTACTTTTGAAAATCAGCCAGTGAAAACCTTATGGATCACAGTGGTCCAATCCACAACTGATCATAGCCTGGGCCCTGTTTATATTAATCCAGGAGATGCTGTGCTGGTCTGAGGGTGGCCCCGGACGATCAGAACCAAGACGGACCTTACTGAAACATTCACAACGTGCCCTCGGGCACCTGAGTCTCGTGTACTGCACAGCCAGTCCTGGCCTGGCCTTAGCTGGGTCTCAGGGCTACCATCCCTGGTCCAATATACAGCAGAAGTCCTGTGAACTTCAGAGTGAAACCTATATACACAGTTCTGGGCTGGGAATTTTGCACAAACATTCCAAGCAACATGCCTGGGTTGGAAGTGGGGGGATGAGGTGGTACTTTAGGGAAAAGTTAATGGTGAAAAAGATGGGACATGGAGGGAAAGCTGTTCCTTGGATGTACAGGGTCTGCCCAGGTAGCCCAGTTATGTGCTTCCAGAGACCATTGGTGTCTAAATGAGCCTGGCCTAACTGCATCCTTGGCTTCCCAGTAACATTTTACCACACCACCTTTAAGCCTTTCTCAGAGTGTCTTCCGTTTTGGTGCACATGGAGGTACTCTGTTCATTACCCACTCATAATCCATTGTACCATCCAAAACCAGAAAATAAACCAAACACAGCTGTTGAGTCAGATCCGATTCACAGCAACCCCTCCTTGGGTTTCTGAGGAAGTAGGTTGCCCAGCCTTCCTTCTGAGGAGCGGCTGGTGGATTTGAACTGCCAGCCTTCTGGTTAGCAGTCATGCTTTAGGCACGACGCCATCAGAGCTCCTTCATTTTTACATGATTTGAGCATGGTAAAAAGCTGGAAGTGTACACTTGGCCTGTGGGGAAAAGTCAGCCCACTCTCGCCCCAGCCTCCAGTTCCCCTTCCTGCCCACATATATACACATTCACATCTTAGATTTTTTTTTTCATTATTTTTTTTATGTATCCTCCAAGAGAGTATGCTTATATAACCATCAGTATAATTTATTTTCAGCTTCAGTTTTGAAATGGGTGATCACAATACAAAACAAAAGGGTACACACTGAAAATCTTCCCTCCCTCTGACACTTAGTTCCACCCTGACTTAGTTCCCTGTTGATGGGTGCCATGAAATCAGTTCTGACTCATAGCATGGACAACAGTGAAACAGCCCAGTCCTGCACCATGCTCACAATCATTACCATGACTGAGCACATTGTTGCAGCAACTGTCAATCCAGCTCATCGAGGGTCTTCCTCTTTTTCACTGACCCTGTACCAAGCATGATGTCCTATAGGGACTGGTCCCTTCTGATACATGTCCTGATAAAAAGCTTAAAGTCTTGCCATCTTCCCTTTAAGGAGCATTCTGGCTATACTTCTTCCAAGACAGATTTGTTCATTATTCTGGCATGGTATATTCAGTATTCAATTCAAATGTGTCAGTTCTTCTTCAGTCTTCCTTATTTGTCCAGCACAATTCTCATGAGGCAATTGAAAATACTGTGTCTTGGGTCAGGCACACTTTAGTCCTCAAAGTGACACCTTTGTTAACACTAAAGAGGTCTTTTGCAGAAGATTTCCCCAGTGCAATAAATTGTTAGATTTCTTGACTGCTCCTTCCAAGTGGATTCAGACAAAATTAATTCCTTGACAAATTCAGTCTTTTCTCTGTTTATCATGATGTTGCTTATTGGTCCAGTTATGAGGACTTTAGTTTATGTTAAGGTGTAATCCATACTGAAGGCTATGGTATTTGATCTTCATCAG